ATATATATATATATATATATATATATATATATATATATATATATATGTTTTATTTTTATTTTTTTATTTTTTTCATTGTAAGTGGTGATTCTGATTAGTTTCATTACTTTTAAAACAACATGAATTAAAGGCAGTGTAAAATGCGACAATATATAAAAATACCATTTAAATAATATATAAATTTTTTTTTTGTGTTTGTGTGTGTGTGTGCAATAATAAGAATTAAGGTCAGAACTTTTTTTTTTTTTCATTTTAATTTATTTTATATTTACTATATATTTGATTGTATTTCTATTTTATATTGTCAATCTCAATGCAAGACAAAATACTTTCTTGCATTTTATATAGCGTAAAATAAAATATAGAGTTTTTGCTTGTGTGTGTGTTTTATGTAGCTAAAATAATGGTATTCATTGTTGTTTTTTTATTGATTTATATATATATATAGAGTCAGATTGTATTATCTTACTGCACACAGTCTGATCCATTTAATTTGCACACCAAATGGAAATGGGAATAGCATTCAAAGTAAGTAATGAGTATTTAGCTGCATTCTGTAATGTGTAAATCATATTTTATCAGGTTCTTGGCTGCAGAGTTGAGGGCATGACTAAATATATGAAAAAGTGATTTAATTTTAAAGAGGTTGTGTCATAACTTAGAAAATATCTGCAAGGATATGTGCTTAGAAAGATGGCTAGTGCTCTGTAAATATTGATTAAAAAGCATTATACAGAGTCACCCAAAAGTATTTGGACACTTGTACCACACATAGAAATGACAGAATGTCATTGCATTAAATAACAAAATACTAAAGCAAGTGTCATTTATTTTAAAGAAACATAGTATAAAAAAAATGATGTTGTGACTGTAGGCTTGGTTTTGGTAAAGTGTACATTTCTGCAGCATTTGAGCAGATACAGATACTTGCTTTCATAGTTTACTATCCAGTGTGATGACATTCAGATGTCAAGTATGACTTATGTGTCCAAATACATTTTTGGGACCCTGTTTATTTTCAGTGAGTGATAAAAACAGGAATAGGCTTTATTTTATTACTCTAGAATGGTAAACACTGTGCCAATCTCATCAGCCATTCTCGGCGTCTCCGGCCAGGTTATGACTTGTATTTGTATGAGTGTGTGTAAAAGAGTGTGT